CACTTTTGCTTGTCTGGAAAGCTCTTTCTTTCTCCTTCATTTCTGAATGATAATTTTGCCTGGTAGAATATTCTTGGTTGAAAGTTATTTTTCTTTCAGCATTTTGAGTATATAGTGCCACAACCTACTGATCTACAGAGTTTCTGCTGAAACGTCTGCTCATAGCCTTTTGGGGGTTCCCTTTTATGTAGCAAGTTGGTTTTTTTCCTTGCTGCTTTTAAGTAAGTTGAGTGATTCTTATGCTCAGGTGACCCACAACCAGAAATGGTCATATCCAACAGGGAGAAAATCAGTAAGGACATAGTTGAACTCAACAATACCATCAATCAATTGACATCTATAGACTACTTCATCCAACAACAGCAGAATACATATTCTTTTCAAGCTCACATGACGTATTTGCTGAGATAAGCCTCATCTGGACCATGAAACATACCCAGACAAATTTAAAAGAGTGTGAGTCATACAATGCCTGTAGTTGGACCACAATGGAATTAGACTAGAAATCAGTAACAGTAAGAAAACTGGAAAATCTCTTAATATGTGGAGATTAAACAAAACACTTGTAAATAATACATGGAACAAAGAAGAAATCTCAGAAGAAATTTTAAAATATTTTATATTAAATGAACATGAAAACAGAATTTAGCAAAATTTATGGAAAGCAGCAAAAGCAGTGCGTAGAGGGAAAATATCGCATTGAATGCAAATACTGAAAAGAAGCACGATCTAAAATCAGTGATCTAAGTTTTCACCTTAGGAAAGTAGAAAAATAAGAGCAAATTAAAATAAGCAGAAAGAAAAAGAATTAGAGATCAATAAAATTGAAAATAGAAAATCAACAAAACAAAAAGCTGGCTTTTAAAAAAGATAAGTAAATAAACCTCTAGCCAGGCTAACTAAGAAAAAGAGAATTAGGACACTAATTACTATCATCAGCAATAAAAAAGGGGATATTACCACAGATTCCCTGGAAATTTAAAATTACAATAAAAGAATACTATGAACAACTCTGCCCACAAATTTGGTAATCTGGGGGAAAATGGACCAATTTCTCAAAACACACAATCTGCCAAAACTCACATGCGAAGAAATAGAGAATCTGAATATGTCTATGCATATTAAAGGCACTGAAATGATAATTAATTACCATCCAAACCAGAAAGCACCAGGCCCAGATGGGTTCACTAGTGAATTCTACCAAACATTTAAGAAAGAAATGATACCAATTCTCTACAATCTCTTTTGGAGGATAAATACTTTCCAACTCACTGTGAGGTCAATATTATTACTCCTAATACCCAAACCAGGTGAAGACATTATAAGAAAAGAAGGCTACAGACCAAAATCTTTCATGAACATAGCCTCAAACATCCTTAACAAAATATTAGGAAATTGAATCCAACAATTATAAAAAGAATTATGCACCATGACCAAGAAGGATTTATCCTAGGTATGCAAAAACAGATTCAATGTTTGAAAATCAATCAATGTAATCCATTACATCAACTGTCTGAAAAAAGAAAAAGCATATGGTCATATCAATAGATGCAGAAAATTATTTGACACAATCTAACAACTATTTATGATAAAAATAGTAGACTAGGAATAGAGGGGAATTTTCTCAACTTGATAAAAGAAAAAAACCATACAGCTAACATTATACTTAATGGTGATAAATTCAAATTTTGCCACTAAGACCAGGTACAAGGCAAAGATGTCCCAACTACTCCTTTTCAACATTGTACTGGAAGTCCTTGGTAATGCAGTAAGACAAGAAAAGGAACTACATGATGTACACATTGGTAAGGAAGACCTAAAACTCTGTTCATAGACAACATGATTGTCTATGTAGAAAATCCAAAAGAATTGACAAACAAACAAACACCACTGGAATACTAATACGTAATTATAGTAAAGTTGCAGGATATAAGTTAATAGACAAAAAACAATTGTTTTCCTATATACCAGCAGGAAACAAGTGGAATGTGAAATTAAAACATAGTGCCATTTATGGGGCTCCTGGGTGGCTCAGTTGGCTGGGCATCTGACTTTGGCTCATGTCATGATCTTGCAGTGTGTAAGTTCAAGCCCCATGTTGGGCTCTGTGCTGACAGCTCAGAGCCTGGAGCCTGCTTTGGATTCTGTGCCCCCCTCTCTCTTTGCTCCTCCCCCTCTCATGCTCTGTCTCTCTCAAAAATACACATTAAAATTTGTTTTCATAAAAAAAAACCCAAACATAATGCCATTGATATTAGCATCTCCCAAAACTTAATACTTAGGAATAAATCTAATAAAATATGGACAAGATCTACATAAGGAAAACTATAAAACTCAGATGAGTGAAATCAAAGAACTTAATAAATGGAGATATAGTTCATGTTCATAGGGTAGGAAGACTCAATATCAAGTCATCAGTTCTCAACCTGATCTATAGAGTCAATCTAATTGCAACCAGAATCCCAGCAAGTCATGTCGTAGATGTTGGCAAACTGATTCTAAAGTTTATATGGAGAGGCAAAAAACCCAAAATAGATGACACAATATTGAAGGAGAAAAACAAAGTTGGAGGGCTGATAGTACTTGATTTTAAGACTTAACTATAAAGCTACAAGATCACGTGGCATTGGCAAAAGGGTAGACAAGAAGATCAATGGAACAGAATAGAGAGCTCAGAAATAGATTTATTTGTAGAAATACAGTCAACTGATTTTTGTCAAGGACCAAAGGAGCAAAAATAGTCTTTTCAACAAATAGTGTAGGAACAACTGGACGTCCATAGGCAAAAGAAAAATAAATCTAGTTATAGACTTTACACAAAAATTAACTCAAACTGGATCGTAGATCTAAATGTAAAATGCAAAACTATAAAACTCCTAGGAGATAATATATTAAAAAAATCTAGATAACCTCGGGTATGGTAATGAATTTTTAAATACCAAAAGTACAATCTGTAAAATAAATAATTGATAATCTCGATTTCATTAAATTTAAGAACTTATCTGCAAAAGACAATGTCAAAGAACTGGAAGACAAGCCATGAATTGGGATATAATAATTGTACCAGACACATCTGATAAAGGATTGTTACCCAAAATATACAAAGAACTCCTAAAACTCATTAAAAAAAAAAAACTAAAAGGACTCAAAGATTTTCATATATACCTCACAAAAGAAGATATACAGTGGCAAATAAGTATACGAAAAGATGCTCCATATCATATGTCATCAGGGAAATGCAAATTCAAACAACAGTGAGATACCACTACATAGCTATTAGAATGGCCAAGATCTGGAATACTGACAACATCAAATGTTGGTGAGAAGGTGGAGCAATGGGAACTCTCATCAATGGCTAGTGGGAATGCAAAATGGTATAGCTGCTTTGGAACATAGTTCCACAGTTTCTTACAAAGCTAAACATAAGGCTTACCATATCATCCAGTAATTGTGCTCTTTGGGTAAATACCAGACAGTCGAAAGTTGAAACTGTGTGTCCACACAAAAACCTGCACATGGACATTTGTATTGACTTTATTTGTAATTGCCAAAACATGGAAACAGCCAAGATGCTGTTCGGTAGGTCAATGGGTAAGCAAACTATGGTCCATCCACACGGTATTATTCAGCACTAAAAAGAAATGAGCTATTGGGGTGCCTGGGTGGCTCAGTCGGTTAAACGACAGACTTCAGCTCAGGTCATGATCTCACAGTTCGTGATTTCGAGCCCCACATCAGGCTCTGTGCTCAGAGCCTGGAGCCTGCTTCGGATTCTGTATCTTCCTGTCTCTCTGCCCCTCCACTGCTCGTGCTCTGTCTCTCTGTCTCTCAAAAATAAATAAATGTTAAAAATTTTTTTTAAAGAAATGAGCTATTAAGCATGAAAAGACATGGGCCTTAAATGGATATTATTATCAAGTGAAGGAAGCCAATCCTAAAAGGCTACATACTATATGATTTCAATTCTGTGACATTGTAGAGTAGACAAAACTGTGGAGGCAGTAAAAAGACCAGTGGCTGCCAGGGGTTGGGGGAGAGAGGGATGCATAGGCAGAGCAAGGAGGATTGCTAGGGTAGTGGAAATATTCTGTATGATTTTATAATGATCGATACATGTCATGTGTTTACCCACACCCATAGAATGTAGAAAACCAAGATTGAACCCTAAAGTAAATTGTGGACCTTGAATGATCATTATGTCATCAGTCGTAACCAAAGCACCACTCTGGTTAGTGATGTTGATAATGGGAGAGGCTGGGCATGTGGGGGGGCAGGGTGTAAATGGGAAATCTCTGTACCTTCCTCTCAATTTTGCTGAGAACCTGAAACTGCTCTGAAAAAAATAGTCCTTCGCCTCCCCTCTCGCCTCCCCTCTCGCCTCCCCTCTCGCCTCCCCTCTCGCCTCTCCCCTCCCCTCCCCAACAAGGAAAGAGTTTAGACTGAACCATACTTCCTCTCCCATCCCAAGTCCTGAAAATGGAGGGTCAGGAGTGTGGAAGAATTCTTGAGAATAGAAACAAGATGGGATTTTACTTATGGAAAGAAAACTAAGCAAATAAAACTGTAACTCAAAACACGCTCCAGAGAAAATATAGTCAAGAGTAGAAGCCATAGCTCCTACATAGCTCCAGAGAAATGCCACACTAGGATGAAAACTAGGCAATGCCTCCTAAGGCAAACAGCTGGGCCAGAAGAAGGCAGGCAGTCATGGCATGCGCCCCTAGGGGTAAGTCCTAGAATGCTTGCTAACCTGAGGGATTAACCTAGCAGGGAAAAACTATATTGGTTTGAGACGGTGACGGGAGCAGCGCTAAGGTGAGCTAACAAGGCCCCCTCAACCCTGACAAGTTGAAGCAGAAATAGAAATGATGCAGCTCAGACACACAGTGATTATTCCCTGCAGGAGAAGTTCTGATCCCACATGCAGAATCCCCCCAATCTAAAGAGCCAGGGCACAGGCTAAACCATAATTTAGCAATGACAAACACGAACAGATAGAGTACAAGGTTCACCGAGCATTTATTTAAGCAAACCCGACACTGAAGTCATGAAACCCAGAGGTCAGAAGGACAGTCGCAGAAAAAGAATCTATCGAATGAACATAGGAAGTCTTTTTAAAACAAAGCAGGACTAGTATTTTCAGAGGATCGCATAAAATAACAATGGGTTGGTCAGTCACGGGATCCAGCCTTTGTCTTTGGGATGCAACCCTAAACATCATCTCTTGTGACTGGGTCCACGTCGTTGAAACAGATCCAAATATGATCCGAGGCTGTATCCGAATATTATGAAAGCTTTGTGTTGTGCCACTGTTGATATCAGCATGTAGATGCGTGGCTGGGCGGGGAGGATCTGCAGGGCAGAAGCGCTTAGGTTAGAGAAAAAAATAAATTGTCAACTCCTTCTTGTGAGGTACCATAAATGCAATAAAGTCTTGTATTACGAAATGTCTTTTCCCAGGAGCGGCAAGCCCCCATTTATTCCCAATTCATGATTTTGAAGACACTCACAATTTAGCGTAATATTCATAACAGTTGCACTTGGTGACCAAAGAACATTTTCAATGTTAGGCAATTGATAATATTCACAGGTACATGCATAGTGGTCTAGATTTAACACGAGTGAAACATGATACCAACTTGTTACATTGGCAGCGGGGTGAAATTTGGACGCTAAACTTGCAAATAGCTATAGTGTCATAAAAAAATTTGACAGGCACCTGGGTGGCTCAGTTGGCTAAGCATCTGACTTTGGCTCAGGATGTGATCTCACCGCTCGTGAGTTCGCTCTGTGCTGACAGCTCAGAACCTGGAGCCTGCTTTGGATTCTGTGTCTCCCTCTCTCTCTCTCTGCCTCTTCCCTGCTTGTGCTCTGTCTCTCTCTCTCTCTCTCAAAAAAAATAAACACTAAAAAGTTTTTTTGATAAATATTTAAATTTTGGGGAAATTAAATACAATGTAACTCTTTTCATGACGGTTTTTTGTTTCATAGCCATTGACTATCATTTGCTTCGCCTTTTCAACTTTAATAGATAAGTTTGAGTATTTTAGGATAACTTTACTATGAATGTACTTAAAAATAATTTTAATTTTCAGTTCTTTATATGGATTTCAATCTACATTGTTGCAAATGTGTATTTAAAATTTGTACATTTTTGGGGCGCCTGGGTGGCGCAGTCGGTTAAGCGTCCGACTTCAGCCAGGTCACGATCTCGCGGTCCGGGAGTTCGAGCCCCGCGTCAGGCTCTGGGCTGATGGCTCAGAGCCTGGAGCCTGTTTCCGATTCTGTGTCTCCCTCTCTCTCTGCCCCTCCCCCGTTCATGCTCTGTCTCTCTCTGTCCCAAAAATAAATAAACATTGAAAAAAAAATTTTTTTAAAATTTGTACATTTTGAATAAATTACGTTTACTTTTAACATTGAAGTATAGTTGTTTCAGATGTCTCAGATAGTGATTGGACAATTCTATATTTACACCATCCCCATCACCTGTCACCACACAAACTTACCATTTATAATGTCCTTACCATCTGTCGCCATACAAAGTGATTACTGTATTAGCAACGGCCTTCCCTATGCCATACTTTTCACCCCTGTGCCTTGCGTGTTTTATTACTGGAGGTTTGTATCTCTTAATCCCTTCACCTATTTTGCCCATCCCCCCTCCCCCTCTCCTCCGGCAATCACTAGTTCATTGTATTTGAGTCTATTTCCAGTTTTGTTTGATTATTCATTTATTTTTTTTTAATTCCCCACATGAGTGAAATCATATGGGATTTGCCTTTCTCTAACCTGACTATTTTCACTTAGCATAAAACCCTGTAGGCTCATCCATGTTGTCACACATGGCAAGATTTCATTCTTTTTTATGGCTGAGTAATATTCCTGTGTGTGTGTGTGTGTGTGTGCGCGCGCGCGCGTGTGTGCACATCTTTATCCATTCATCTATTAGTAGACTTTAGTTTGCTCCCTATCTTGTCTATTGTAAATAATGCTACAGTAAAGGTGAGGGTGCATATATCTTTCCAAATTAGTGTTTTTGGTTTCTTTGGTAAATATCCAGCAGTGGAATCAGTGGATCATATGGTATTTCTATTTTTTAATTTTTTTTTGAGGAAACTCCATACTGGTTTCCATAGTGGCTGCACCATTTACACTCCCACCCGTAGCACATGAGAGTTCATTTCCCACATCCTTGCCAACGCTTGTTATTTCTTGCCTTTTTGATAATAACCAGTCTGACTGGTATGAGCTGATATTTTTCTGTGATTTTGTTTTGCATTTCCCCGATGGTTAGTGATGTTGGTCATCTATATGTCTTCTTTGGAAAAATGAGTATTCAGGTCTTTGGCCAATTTTTAACTGGATTATTTCAGGATCTTTTGGTGTTGAGTTGTCTGAGTTGTTTATATATTGGATATTAACCCCTTATCATATATGTGATCTTAAAATATCTTCTTGGGGCACCTGGTTGGCTCAGTCAGTTAAGTAAGCATCTGACTCTTGATCTCTGCTCAGGTCTTGATCTCACAGTTCATGAATTTGAGCCCTGCATTAGGCTCTGTGCTGCCAGTGCAGTGCCTCCTTGGGATTCTGTCTGTGGTTTTCTCTCTCTCTCTCTCTCTCTCTCTCT